CAAATGAGAGTTAAAGACACATTTTTTTGCCTAAAGCCTCAATTTTAAATATCTGCTAGTCGTGTATATAGATCGTAATATAACTACTACCTCTTGTAGGTTGGAGATATAATCCTCCTTCACAAGAATCAACGAGTGCCCGCGGACATGGTTCTTCTCTGGACTTCCGAACCCCAAGGTTCCTGTTTCATCCGGACTGACCAGTTGGATGGGGAGACTGACTGGAAACTCCGTACAGCCATCCCAGTGACCCAACACATTGTTCAAGAGTCAGGTCATCCTGAAAGTCTTTTTGATATTCAGGCTCAAATCTACGCCGAGGCGCCCAACATGCGCATCCATAGTTTCGAAGGAACTTTTGCAAGAACGGATATAATAGGTGGAGGTGATCAAGTTAACACTCTGGACAATTCCATGGAGAATGAGGCCTCTCTTAGTGTTGATCAGACCCTCTGGTCAAACACAGTTTTGGCTACTGGCACTGCAGCGGGCATTGTAATCTACTGTGGTCCAGAGACTCGTGCTGTTATGAATTCCAGCAAGCCACACACGAAAATAGGACATTTTGATAGAGAAGTCAATGATATTATAAAACTCCTTTTCGCCTGTGTCGTTATTCTTGCCCTCATTATGGTGGCATTGAAGAGCTTCAAAGGTGCTTGGTACATCTACTACTGGAGATTCTTCCTCCTCTTCTCCTACATCATTCCTCTTGCGTACGTCTTTTGCCTCAATAAGTCCTTTTATGTGTGCCATTTGTTTGTGTTTCTTGCCTCTAGATTTGGTTGGCAAGAATTGCATTGCATACTGCGTTTTACTGCATAAATACACACACACACACAACTGTAATTTCGCCTGATTAATTTCTCAACAATCCCGAATCACTCAATTGCTAAATTGAGTGGAGCTTAAGTGTAATCGCCCTCGCAAGTCTTTTCAGCTCTACTTCTTGGTTATACCTATTTGTCCTTGAAAATCAGCTTGAAGTCAGCTTTGCTTTATGTCTGCAGTTCTAAGCGCCTACACTGTTTTATGACTTGCTAATTTATCTGACTTCCGATGTAGGGTTTAACGTGCTTCCCTGTTAAGTCACAGGTCACGTGTTTCACCTATCGACGCACATCCAGAGATAGAATGATCGACCTAAGTGAATAAGATTTGCTGATAAAAAGCATAACTAATTCCCAAAATACGTTGCAATAATAATATTTTCACCGTATATTTGTCTCTTCCTCTAGTTTGCGCGTAAATCTTGATATGGCCAAGATCGTCTACTCCTTGATGATCAATCGAGACAAGGACCTTCCCGGGTGTGTAGTTCGTAGTACTACAATCCCAGAGGAGCTGGGTCGTATCACACATTTGTTGTCAGATAAGACCGGTACCCTAACACAAAACGAGATGGTGTTCAAAAAATTGCACTTGGGCATTGTGGCCTTCGCGCCTGATTCCATGGACGAGTTGACTGACACCCTTCGTCGTTACTACGACACCGCGGCTAAAAATGGCGACGAGACTGCAACCAAGCAGTTGCGCAAAACTGGCGACGAGATGTTGGTTGAGGCTGTGTTAGCGATTGCAATCTGCCACAACGTCACACCAATGAATGATGATGATGATGGCGCAGGAAGTGGCGAAAACGCTTCTTCTTCTTCTACTCAAGCCAAGGGATTGGGAGATTATAATGAGTTTGCTCAACCGGTGGGATTCCAGGCCAGCTCGCCGGATGAAGTCGCTTTGGTTACTTGGACTGCGTCAGTGGGAATTACATTGATTCATAGAGATCAACAAATGATGGCTCTCAGGCTGCCCAACGGTATGTCATCAAAGTTCTACTCAACTTCATTGTAACGCAGCCAGCCAATGAAAGTGCGGTGGTGACTAGAACGCACCAGTTTCTTTTCTTGCTCGCTAATTACCTTTTCAGAGTATTGACTACGTGTTAGTATATGTATAATCAAACGAAGATCATGATGTCCGGGCAGATAATTGCCTTTAAGAAATACTATGAATTTGTGAAAATGAAATTGAAATTATTGCTGCCGATTCATGTGTGAAGAACAATACTGGTGTTGGTTTAAAAGTCGGCATTGTTTTTCAAATTGTAAGGCCTAGCTGAAGAAACACGTCTTTACACGCCAATATATTTTGCAGACGGCGCCGTTTTTCAAAGTGATTTTAACACACATGGTTAACCAATTTTTCACAAGTTGCCTTTATTGCGAGGAGGAGGTGGTAATTGTTCTATCAGTACCAAAAGTGCTCCTTGGTGCTGTAACCCATTTTCACCTCAGCAGCCAATAATTTAAGCATTTCAACTGACTCTTTCAAGAGCTTAGGTTAAACTTTGCTACATTTGTTTAATCATGGTTTATTAACTCATCGACATAAAAGCTTATTTTTTTATGTGAAACATTGGCCAATAAAAAACGTGCCTTTATCGGTGAGAAATTATTCGTTTTAAGAAATGAGCAACTATTAACGCTTTGTTTGTCATCGTTATCTTGAGAACTTATATTCAAATGGTAGATGTTTCTGCTACATTCCTGGCAAATGAGAGCTTAAACATTGTTTTAAACTTCAATGACAGTAAAACCTCTCCTCTTAGCAGATGTGAATAAAACTTAATTACGTGTAATTGTGTAATATTGATGTCTTGGCGCTGTTCTTTTCCTATTAAAAAATTACTTTCACCTCATATTAGCTTATTCACTTCTATGACAAGGCTCCAATATCTTACATAAACTCTAGGTGAAAAAATTATTTCTTGATTGAGTATTCACCCTTCTGAAATTATTGAAAATTTAAACTGCTATTATTATTTAATATTCACCACAACTAAATTAATTTGATCTTTTGAATGCAGTCTATTTTTTTTTCAAGTAGTTGGGCTTCCTGTGATTTGGTTTTGGTTATGTCAATCAATAATATTGTGAAATGTCAATAATTTATTGATTAACGTGATGACACTGGCTGTGAATCATAAAATGGCATAGCTTTAAAATCCCTTGTTAATTGAACCAAACTTCACCAATTGGTGATGCTGATGTGTGGGTTGATTGAATGCTGACTTTTAGGATTACGGACCCTCAGTTGAGTTAACGAGGTGGTGTTGTTAGGGCCATTCGTCTCATAAGTTAAAAGAATTGCGTTCTTGTGGTCTTTTCCAATTTCTATCTATCACATGGCAATTTATTGTCATTCTTGCAGGTGCAACTGTAGCTTTCGACATTCTCCAACTCTTTCCCTTTACTTCTGAAGCGAAAAGAATGGGTATTGTGGTTCGTGAACGCAAGACCGGAAAGATACAATTTTACTCTAAGGGTGCTGATGCTGTTATGGCCAAGTTGGTTCACTACACTCCCTGGATGGAAGATGAGGCTGGAAATTTGGCTCGTGAAGGTCTTCGAACTCTTGTTGTTGCTCATCGCGAGCTCACTGAAGAACAGTATGCTGATTTTGCCCAAAGGTGTGTGTGTGTGCTAATTTACGCTACTGAAATGAATTTAAGTAGTTTGTGTTAATTTTGTTTTTTTCCGTTTTAGGTATCATCACGCTACAATGAGCATCACTGATCGTCTTGGAAAGGCTCAAGCGGCTATCGCAACATTGGAAACTGATCTTCAGCTCCTTTGCTTGACTGGTGTGGAAGATAAACTGCAAGAAGGCGTACGTAAACTTCATTAGCTGCTCTTTAAAACTAAAAAAAATATTTTTAATTGTGGGGGGGGGGGGGGGTAATGTTATGATCCACTGACTGACTTTGGAATTATATTGCTATTGTCTTGGTCTACTGCCCTCCTTTTAATGTCCCAATTTCCAGGTTCGACCGACTCTAGAAACCCTACGTAACGCTGGTATCAAGGTTTGGATGTTGACAGGTGACAAGTTGGAAACTGCGGAATGTATTGCCAAGTCATCTCGTCTATTTCCACACGGACAAGGGCTGCATATCTTCCAACCGATTACAGGTCGTTCCGACGCCCATCTGCAGTTGAATTCGTTCCGTCGACATTGCGATCTACCATTGGTCATTACTGGCACATCGTTGGAGGTGAGGAATTTGTTGATGGAGTATGGCGTTTAGGAAATCAGTTAAAACAGAGCCCTTTGGGTGAATGGACTGCTTATGAGTGGGAAGCATCATCGTATTTCAATTTACTGAGGAGTTTCTCGTATTTTTTTATACGGAGATTTATACAATTTGGACATGATTTTGTCAAACCGTTTTGCTTTTTTATTTTTCTTAACATTAAATTCTACTGGAAGATGAAGAACTAAGTGGAATCCTCTTCACGGGCGATTCTATAGGAAGGTGTAACGGTGTGGTAGAATCTCCTACGGTAGAAGCACTGTTTGTATTTGCGTTTGAATTACTCTCGTCCTGTTCCAAGTTCGCATTATCGCAAACTAATAGTTTGAATCATTAGCTCGTTTGTATTCTTAGAGTCTCAAAACTGGGTTGAATGTGCAATTATCTATGACTATGCAAGGAATTTCGAAATAGTAGTACTCCAACTAACTTTTAGTCTCCTAAACGTCTTCAGTATCTGCTTCTTATCGATTTATTTTGTTTTTTTAGTACTGAGGTCAACAAATAACACTTCACATGCAATATTTATTGTTTAATCGCTGATTCTTTCTGGTTTCGTTAATTTTTTTTACTTTAGACGTGTCTCCGTTACTATGAGGTTGAATTCCTTGAATTAATCCGTCATTGTCCCGCCGTGGTTGTATGCCGTTGTTCACCCACGCAAAAAGCCGGAATTGCTAAACTCCTCAAAGCTAATGTGAAAGGTGCTGTTGTTGCTGCAATTGGCGATGGCGGTAATGATGTCTCCATGATCCAAGCTGCTCATCTCGGTATCGGTATTGTTGGCAAGGAAGGTCGTCAAGCCTCTCTTGCATCTGATTTCTCCATCACACAGTTCTCGCATATCGCCCGATTACTTCTTGTTCACGGAAGAAATACCTACAAGAACACGGCTTCTCTCTCGCAATTCATCATTCATAGAGGTGAGCTAGGCCCCCCCCCCTCTACTTAAAAATCTTGAAGTAGTATTGTATTGATTGTAATACGCGTTTGTTTTTTTTTCAGGTTGTACAATCACAGTGATGCAGATTATCTTCTCAGCCATCTTCTACATAGTGTCAGTGGCCCTATTTCCTGGTTTCTTGATGGTCGGTTACGCCACAATCTTCACCATGTTCCCGGTCTTCTCTTTGATTCTTGACAAAGACGTCCCTGACAAAGTTGCAATGACCTATCCTGAGCTCTACAAAGATCTGGCCAAGGGTCGTGAACTCACTTTCAAAACATTCTTCGTTTGGCTAGTCATTAGCATCTATCAAGGTGGGAGTTGTTCTTTATTTAAATTTGACTGTTTTTGAAGGACATTGGATTTACTGTTCCCTCCCTCACTCAGAGAGGGAAGAATGAGTTATGGTACAACTTTAGAAGATGCATTTACTTGAAAGAATAATAATTTTTTTGAACAGGAGCAGTTACTACAAGAGCTATGTAGTGCACATTGACGCAACTGAGCTGACCATTTTGGTCTATTGTTTGAGGTTTCGGTTTCCACTTCTCATTCAGACTTGAAAGTGTAGGAAAAAGACAAACTGAGCATATTCTTTAAGCACAAGGTCAGGTGTAAACTTGGATTACAGATATTTACCACATCTTCGTCAATAATAGGTCTTGTCACACTGACTTCTGTAACCAACTTGTTCTAGCAATCATTTCAGTCCCAGAAAACAAAGAAATGCAATTTTGATGCCACGAGGGCTGGGTTTCTATTGTGCTAAGTAGAAAAACTTTGAAGTAAACAACTTACTTGGAAGCTTCTGATGGTTAAAGCCCCTTCTCCGAAAGTTCGCAGTTGGAGTGAAGATTGAATACGTTTGGAGAGCTTGCTGACTCAATGGCTGACCAATGAGTCTAGAGTGTGGAAGAGGAGGGTGAATTTATCTCCCTATTATAGAGGATCAGTTATCAATTCTTCACTTTCGTAATGGAAAATTTTGTGCATGAATTTTCACATTTTCGGTAAATTGAACACGAACTTTTGAGAAGCGAATTCTGTCCATTTAGTGATTGCCAATGTTTCGTTGGAGACGAGCGAATGCAATTGAGTCGTGTACAGATTAAGTGAATGTGGACAATGCATTACTTTGTTGCTTTCGGCGTGTGCGATAGACTTACCTCCATGCGGTGCACCCTGGGCAGCGTATACTCATACGGCAAAAAAGTCTATTAACCGGCATTTGACTTCTGACTTCAAAATAGCATGGCCCAACTGCTTGTCATATTCGACCCCTTCCACAGTACTCAACTTACCCTACTCTTGACCTTTGTGTCTGTCTCTTTTACATCTTTAAAACACTCTTCTGTCCCCTCTCGACTTTTTTTCACTTTGATGTTCCTCCTCCACTCTGTTAATCCTGAAGTCAACTAAAACTTTGTTGCTTTCAATAGTTATCTCTCTATCCCTTGACTGGTTGTTGTTTTCTTTTGCTTTCAGGTGGGGTAATCATGTACGGCGCTCTGCTTCTCTTCGACCAGGAC